CTTCCTTCCTTCCTTCCTTCCTTCCCTCCTTCCTTCTTTCCCCCTATATCTAAAAATTGACTAACTTTCTCCCCTTCTTGTGGAGATCAAAGACACTCAGTGGTTTGAATTCTCCTGAAAGGCAGGTTGCCTTACCATTTTGGGTAACTTTGATTCTCTGGGGACCACCATGTTGGCTGCCCTTCCTCCCCCCATTCTCTGTTCACTCTTTGGTCTTTTTTTTTATAATTAAACTTTGCAGTTCCAGCAAGGGTCTGTTTCCCAATTTTTGCCCTCAACAGTGGTTCTTCTGTGCAGGAAATGAAGGACAAGAAGAAGTTCTGCCAAACCTACATCCAGCAGTTAGTGAAGGAGGCAGCTGACATCCATATGAAATACGAGTCTTTGCAGAAACTCTGGCCTCAGATGTTCCTCGAGCTCGTCAGGGATGCCGTGATCGAGATGCACAATAAGGATTCCTACAGGAGGCATTGCTTGCAGCGCGTGGCTGAGCAAAAACTGTAACGCCACCAGGTTCCTTTCGCGTGTCACTATACCTCCGCCGTTATTTTTTTTTCCACAAAGGCCCCAAATGATTTATACTGCTGCTGTCATTCTGAGACACTTTTTAATGCCTTGCCTTGAAGAAACCTCATTTTCCTAGCAAAATACGCCCTTTTCCTATTTTCAGAAGAGATTGCTTTTGTTTTTTTCCCCGTGGCCTGATGGACATGAGCACTGGTTTAATTTGGGGATAGGCAGACCACGCAACGTTTTTTGCTGAGGCAAAAGGATCCTCGCTTCCCTGTATTTTATTTTATTTTTTGCTAGTGCTGCAACTCTTTGCATGTTCAAGCACTGCTTTGAAAGAAGTAAGACCTGGAACTCACTCGTTCAATTCTGAATGTTTTTTTTATTTTATATTATTATTATTATTATTATTATTATTATTTTATTTTTATTTTTTTCCTGATACTATTGCTGCTGCAGGTGGCGGTGATAGTGGGAAAAATGTTGCAGTTGAAAACACTGGGATTTGAGGATTGGAAGTTAATAAATTATTCTGTTGACAACTCTCAAAGGAACTGTTCTCTTTCGAAAGTGGCACAACCGTGTGGCCCTGTGTTCTGAGCGTTCGGTAGCTGGAGCTGTCTGCTTAGCCAGTCCTGCCAGTCTTAAGAAGCAGGTCTCTTGACGTGCTCAGGCTGAGACTTTGGTCTACACCAGTGTTTTTCGAACTTGGCAACTTTAAGATGTGTGGACTTCCACTCCCAGAATTCCCCAGCCAGTATATAGATGTAGATGTAGAACAGACAAAAGGATGCCCTTCCTCACCCAGTGCAGAATTAACCTGTGGAATTCATTCAAGCAAGATGTGATGGCCACCAGCTTGGATGGCTGTAAAAGTGAGTTGAATACATTCGTGGAGGATGGGCCTGTCAAGGGCTGTGTCTCTCCTTCCTGGTTGGGAACGTCTTGAGACATCTGGGTTGGCCATGGGGTGAAACAAATTGCAGGGCTAAGATAGGCCTTGGCTTGATCCAGTAGGGTTGTTCTTACATGCACACATTGTGCTAAAGCTATAATGTGATTTGTTTGGGTCTGGGTTATTGTGTTCTATGAAACCAGCCCATTGTAGTTTATAAACCATGGTTGAAGGCTTAGCATGGTGTGTGATCTAGCTAGTTTATTTATTTTATTTATACGTCACATTTATATAGCCGCCCATCTCACACAAAGCGACTGGGCGGCGTACAACAAAATAACAAGTGAATAAAAACAAGCATTATAAAAAGGTAAAAGGCGATTCTTAGAATAAAAAGATTATCACACATTTTAAAAAATAGATTTTAAAATATAGAAACCCCTCGGAGAGAACAGAATTGTCAATCACAGTGGAGCCATCTAAGAATGTCTCTGGGCACCCAGGCCTGATGACACAACCGGGTCGTGAGGGACTTCCGAAATGACAGCAGGGAAGGGGTGAGCCTGATCGTAGGGGGGAGAATGTTCCACAAGGAGGGAGCCACGGCAGAGAAGGCCCGCCTCCTGGGACCCACCCAAATGAAGTCCCTGGCCGATGGAACCCATAGCATACCTTCCCTGCCGGATCTAATGGGCGGGCTGATGTGATCGGGGAGAGGTGGTCCCTCAGATAACCTCACATCAGATAGCTGCAGCTTATTCAATGAACCGGAGTTAAGTGAAATGGGGAGGTCAAAAAAGTCAATAGTGCATTTGAAGCCCTGCCCCTTTTGGACATGTATTGAAGTCCCCTATGCATAGAGACCCCCCCGTTGAAGAAGGCTTCTCTGTTGTTTCTCAATAATTTCAAATGTTTAAGGAGTGAGCGTCTTTGTGACTTCGTGGAAGACTCTCTTCTGCTTGTATAAGACAACTCTCTGACCGCAACAGTTTTAACTGTACTTGGAAATTAATATTCAAAATAACTCTTGATTTGAGGCACTGGGTGTTTTTGCAAAGATATCACTTGGGGTCTGCAGTTTCACTGATACAAAATGTTGATATTGTGATTGGTTTCTTTGCCTTAAAATAAATTCTGCCTGGCCTTTCTACCATAAAGTTTATGCTGCCAGCCTCCTGTGTGAACCAGATCATATTTCTCCTGTTAGTGCTGGCTCAGCCCATAGAAGTGATAGTATGTCAGTTTGGGCCCAACATTCTCCTTTCTGTTAGTTTGATGGATGTCCACACCAGACCCTTTAGCACAGTTTCATATTACATCTTGTACATCTTGTGGCTTCGTGTGTGGATCAGTCTAAGCTCTGCTGGCAGGGTGATGGGAATTGTAGTCCAACATATTTGGCAGATATGCCAAGCATGGGTCCTGAACAGATATGGAATAAAGTGCTGTTCTATTTCTGGAATAATTGAAGCAGGGACTGTGGAAAAAGGGGACCAGCTCCCCGAGTTTTCCTATTTTATACCTATGCAGAGATCAGGATAAGGAAAAAAAAAAGCCTTCCTTTGTACATTTCAGGTCGTGCCTTTAACACTTAAGCACCAGGGAGGATAGCCCAGAATCACATCTGGTTTCCATCGACTTAAAATATACTGTTAGACAAATGATTGTAAAGTTAATTCAAAATACAGTGGTGAAGAAACCGAGTTGTGTTTGCATTTCTTTTATATATGCTCCCTTCGTCTAGACATCTTATTTGAGTATAACAGACTTTAATGGCATTAGCATAATTTACATTGGGTGAAACAAGCCATGGCCACTTTTGGAGAAAATGCACGGATTTTCAACCGTGAATCATCCTGGTGGTGCATTCTTGTACGTGAGATTTAGCCTCGCACCTCAGTAGCCCATAGAGAGTATCCAACGTTTGAGGTTTGCAGTTCATCTTATTAATCTCCTTCCACTGCCAAGTTGTGAAAGTCAAGGACCCCAAACCCAACGATCCACAGCTTGATCATTTGGAGCGCCTTTCTACGGGCCGTTGCAACACTCGCTTCAGCTGCGCACACAGTAAAATATGGACGACACAGGATGTTGCAAACATCTTGTCTCAGCTATAATTTTTACGAGCCTTTGGAAAGGCTATTGTCTTAGAGGGGCTGGAAACTGTTTTAATGGAGGAATATGTTGAGAGAGACTCATTTGAGATTGCTAGTCAAGTCATCTTGGAGCGATTAGTTTGAGCAATTTTTTTGTTTGTTTTGAAGGGTCACTTGTGCATCAAGTGGTGGTTGAGAAGGGTACACACAAAGCCTTTCAAAGAGCAGGCCTTTCTTCCTCTTAACAAGGAGAAATTGCATTCCTTCAACTTGACGGAAGGTTGCTGGGAGGGCCAAGGAAACGTGGTTTGGATTTTTTGGGGAGTGGGAAGAGGAAACCCCAGCTTCACTGGGCCCTTTCCCTGAATCTTCCTCTACTACATCATTGCCTCCTGAGGGCAGAGGTATGTCCATTTCATTATATGATAAATCACCATGAGGATAAATAAATAATCTGGCACATTCTATGGCCATCTTCTCATTTTTATGCCGTGGAAACCTATTCCTGACAAATGTCACCTCTGTGAAGACAATGGAACATCCCACTTGTGCAAAACTTTAATTTGTAGATCAGGTCCCAAAGGAGAGCTTTAAACGCCAGAATGATCTAGGAATGGCTCAACCCTCATTCCATATTTGCATAGCAAAGATATTTGCATAGGAATCCTGCTACTTTCTGCCTGTAATTGCAAACACTGCCCCATATTTTCTAACTTGGGCTACTCAGTCGTAAATTCCTTGGAATTACTCTCACACCTAGCACGGAAATATCTTAGTATTTGATTTCTTTCCACACATTGTAGAAGTTTATATCTGGCCACGTCAAAAGGACAATTAATCGGATGGTTCCTATTCAGAGTCCTTTGGAAGTTTAAAGAAAAGCTGCCAAATATTAGAGTTTGATTCTTTTTTCCCCCTGATAGTTTTTACTGCTGCTTTTAACACATTGTTCAGCCTTTTAAAATTGTCAAGCGGTTGAATAGAAAATCAGCTTCAGCTGAGTTAAAAACCATTTCTTGCAGAAATCAGACTGTTTCTTTTTAAACTGGATTGAGAGCGGCTATTTCCTTGTTTCTGTAACCTCTCCTCCATAACTCTGAAAAAGGTCTGTTTGCTGTCAGATTCTCCGTGGCTGAGTTGACCAGAAGCATGGGCCTTGTTCCTCTCTCCACCTCTCTTACCAGACGAAACAGACCTGGGACGGGAATCTGCTTCTTTTACCTTTCTGTTTCTAGGATTGAAAGGGGCATAAATCAAAGCCAGGCCGAGCTCAGAAAGCTGGAACATCTGGCTCATCTTGGCCAAGAAAGAACATTTCATCTGCCAGAAAGAAAATCCCTGGCTGTCGATTACATGCGTGTGCTTAGAAAGGGCAAGCAAAGTTTAAGACATGATACAAAGAAGAAATGGCTTTTTCCCACAAGAACTCACCCAGGTGTGATGATCCTCCTTGGATGTCCTCTTCAGGGGCTCCCTGACCACTGTTGGAGATGAGATGTGTAGCAGCCTATAAAGACCCCTCAGTAGTTGGTCCTAACTCTAAAGGAGGCTGCCTGGACAGGTTTCCCTGGCGCAGAGTCCAGTTTTCCCTTTCTGGGCCAGATGTAAACCTTGGCTAGCCATCCCTTTTGACCTTTTAAGATCTTTGGACTGGCACTTCATTTTGGCTTTGGGTTTTTGTTTCATTTAAGCAGGGGAGAAGGGGTTGTATTGTTTTAGTTCCTGTGTTTCTTGATTTTATGTTCCATTGTATGCTGCTCTAAGGAAGTCTGCCAGCTGAACGGGAGAATATAAATATGTCCAATATAGAAAGAATTCTGTCTCCAGGGTCAGGAGTTGCTAGGGTTAAGGAGCCCTTGGTTCTGTGTGCTGCTGCTATCTCGGGTGAGAGTTAATTGTGTTTTCCAACATCTGCAGGCAATGAAGTAGGAACCGGACTGGACTCTCTTGCTGAAATGAGCTGTTTGGCAGAAATGTCGGAACCAATAGATTTTTCAGCACATGGAGCAGTTAGAAGGTGCCACGAACCTTCTAGGAGACCCATGAATCCATCTTCCTGTATCTAGTTTCCTCTCAATGTACTGAACTGCCGGTTCCATCATCCCTGACCAACCATATTAGCTGAGGGTGATGGCAGTGGTGGCCCAATGTGTTCAGATGCTATGAAGGAGAACTGAACTTTCCACCACCACCACTATGAAATAGCATTGCTGGTTGAGGGTTGCCAGCCCAAGGCTGAGTCTGATGCCTTAAAGCAGCAACAGGCTTTGAACTGTTGAACTTCTATTGTGAAAACATGGACTCCCAGCTGGCCTGGCAACATTCAGACCACGTCTTGGTCTCCTGTTTTGTGTTACTATTGTGT